CCGATTTAAAAAGCGTTGTGGACAAAAAGGAGAAAAGAAGAAGAAGAAGAAACGATGTTCATTTGGTGCGCCTCTCGGGGGAAGAACGATTCCTACGCGATCAACGAGATCTGTTTATCGTTAAAAGAGGCCAGTGTGTTTCGGAACACTTTCAACGCGCGCGCGATTCCACCTCGTTTCATTCGTCACGCCCTGCTTACACGTTTTCCTTTCTTTCTTTCTTTCGTTCTAACGTTTGTCGTGTATCTCGAAAGTTTTATTGCTTCTAGAAGTTCGCGGTTGCCCATTCGACAAAGTAGTATCGAAAATATATATGTATATTATATGCGTACAAACCATTTGATTATTATCGAATTATTTGCACATATTACAGCACGGGAGGGGTCGAAACATAAAAAGGGGCGAGAGGGGGTATCGGAGTAATTAGACAGTGAGCCGGACGGACCATCAGATACGTCGTACTTCGATAGAAGAAGGATCGACGAGTTGAATGAATCGTCGATCGATCTCGTGCTTCGATTCGTTTCGTTTCGTCGTCGTCGTCGTCCGTCGTGCTCCGTGTATATAGGTTACATAGTGTTTTATAACGGTTGCACGTTTATCGTGTCGTTCGAGTTGTCGTCGCGATCGTTCTGACCTCTACGAAACAACGTCCGAACAACGTGCGCCTAAAAAATATTCGAAGTTTCGCCAAGTGCGCGGACAGCAACGGCACTGCAACATTCATTTTAGGCGTGTCTCTGCTTTCCGTCGCAGAGAATTACCGAGAGATAATAGATATGACGCGATGAACCCGATTGTAATCGATGATCGTGCGGAGAATATTATTGGGATCTCAGAATCAATTCGAAGAGAGATTCAGAGCATAAGAAAGCCGAGTCTTGGAAGAAACGAAGAACGACGACCTCTTCCGAACGAACGAGTCGCGAGGACGCAGCCACGCGCATGCGTATACGTTGAAGCGTACTCACGAAAGGATCATCGAATGGCCCGCGACGAGAATCGTGAAATGCAATTATAATATACGTAGAAAAGGTACGAGGACATTAATATCGGACAGGCTTCTCTAAAATACTTTGACAAAGCGGACTCGACACCGATAGTGTGTGAATTATTTGTACGAGTAATTTACAATGATCCTCACCCTCTTGAGCCTTCGTAGCTTAAAATAATGAACATTTTTTGTTTCTTTGTCTGTTTCCGTATTTTCCCGTTACTTCTCGCGTTGTCCACCATATCCATTTCATTACCCGCGTTTCCCTAACCTCCTTTCCGGTCGGATGGTAACAAATTTACACTGTTCCTAGTTCACGTAACGTCCGTAACCGTCGTTTTCGTCACGTCCTCGACGTCGTTCCTACTATACGTACCAGATACAATCCTTCGAGCGAGCTGCGAGCTTCTAGCCACGTTACGTCCGTTTTCGACCAGCGAGAATGATCCTACGTTCGTTTGTAACCGCGTTTTTGCCGCCGTTATCGCGACACCCGTTTCCGGCAAAACACACGGTAAACCAGGTGCTGTTTCTCGTTCCCTTTACCTTCGTGTTTCTTTTTCTACCCTTTCCGGATCGCGGATGTAAACGTAGAAAAATAACGATCGCGCAATCCGCGTTAACACACACACGCACACATATATACTCCTTTTTTTTGTCCTCTGTGTTGCCCCGCTGCCAACACGCTCGTCGCGCGCGGGTCCGAGATAACGTTCATTCGTATGAGTACCTACGTATATAATATACGTTGACCTGTACTTTTGTACGGCAAAGTGAATCAAGTGCATTGCCGTAATCGTAGATAGACGCGTTCCAACGAACTCTCGTTTATCTCCGTGTGCATATCGTTTGCAACGCTTTCCTCGATTTACTTGGCGCGACCTATGCGTACGTACGTTGCGCGAGAACGATGCGATTGAGGTTGTTCGCTCGTGACAGAATCGGGTGCCACATTACAATCTTGGAGAATCTCGTTCGATATATTGCATCGAAGTACTGCTCTGGATCGATACACGATCCTGTCACGCACTCTGACGGTCAGGACTGTACTAACTGTGAAAGTAGGCACGCGATCCTTCACGAGGTTAGAAAGCACGTAAACCCGTTCGAAATCGACCTGGGAACTCGAACGATTCCCTTCTTCCACGAAGCATCGATTTTCTTTTACTTTTTTTTCAATTGTTTCGAATGTGTGGAATTTTTTGAAGTGTTTAATTGTGTTGTGACTCGTACTGAAAGAAAGTTGTGTGGTTGCTTCGTCGGTTGTCATTAATCGTTATTGTCCTTGGACAATCGTGCAGCTTCTCGAATCGCAAACGGAAATGGTACGACATATTTTTCTATCGTTTTTTGCGCCGTTTGTTAGTCCTTATAGAGATAATAATTTATACCTGATAATTCAACGGAAACTATATAGTAAATATTTCAAACAACGAACATTGAAGTAATAATTCTTTAAAGTTTTAACAATTTTCGTTGAAAACTTAACGTTTTGTTTTTGGCATCCATGATTAAGCTAAAACGGTATGACACAACCTTCTCGTTTAGACTTATTTGTAACAAGAACTTAAACACTATAATGAACCTGCAGATTCAGATCGATCTTACATCTGGATGTTCAACAATTTGTTAATATACTCAAATTTAGATACTATTCAAAACTATTAAATTACCAACAAACAATAAATTTAATATTTTTATGCTGATTCTGCAATTCATAATTTTATAACAATTTTTTTTCATTAACAGAATTATAGATATACATTTAGTTACATAAAATGTATGTTACTCTGACTAACGTAAATATTTTTTGATAACTCCATCATGTTGGATACTTAATAAACATTTAACGATAATAACCGAGAGTTTAATTTCTGTTACAAATACTGCTTCTGAAAACGAGTAAAAAACTGCTGTGTCAATTTCCGCATTGTTAACTGAGTTAACCGTCAATTCTTTCAGCATATTTAAACGTGCATTTTATAATTCGCTTCACTCATTTTAAACGATACACTACGCGTTTACTGCGAGACGGGTTTACGGGCGCACGGTTGTCGATTACAATTATTCGAATAACGTTACACTATTATGTATATTCGTTTATTCCAAAGCGCATCACTACGTCGTGTAAGATTGTGTCTGTGTAAGTTTTGCAAATGTGTAAGTATCTAGCTGATGATGATTGCGAAATTTGTACTCGCCACCCCCCTCTCCCCCTCCTCTCCGTTCCTTTTGGCAAGAGTATTATTCGTAAATGAACGAAAACAAATCAGTTATAAAACATTTAACAAATAAAATAGCTAAATGTAGGAAAAAAATTATTCCAATGAAAACTTATAACCAAATAAAAGTTACTAGACAGGTGACTGTTTTATCGATCGAGGTTTTCTCTCCCTAAATGCTTCACTTCGAACAACTAAAGTTTCCAAACTAACACGATTTATACGATTGTGAGAGGGTCAGATAGATTTAACGATTATAGAGCGTTAATGGTTGACATTTAAACGTTGATATAGAGAAGAGGAACAGAGAAGCAGGGGGCCAGATAAAACAAAGCCACGCGATCGGATATTCGCGCACCGTATTGTGCAAAATTTGTTCAAGCCGAGCGAATGTAGTAAACTACGCGTACATTTCATATTGTTAAACATCCTGCTTCACCATCATCATCAATTATAATCGTTATCTTAAATCGTCCTATGATCATCCTCACTATTATCGTCGGTTATGATCAGCGTCTTCATCAATGTCTTCGTTTTCTCCGTTGTTCCGTCGTTTTTATTTTTCTTTCTCAGTTTCAAGTTCAACAACTCTCTCGTCTTTGTTTCTTTTTTCTTTTATTATACACCACCGTACGATGACCAGGATAACCGATCAAAAATGAACAAATGTCACCCACGAACCTCGACCGCAGCGAATCAACATTGACGTGTTTTTTTTTTACATTTTTAAATATATTCGTTTGTGTATTTGTCAGCGAGTTGGCGGTTCGCTGTTAAAACCATGTAAAAAATCCCAATATACGCGGATAGAATTTTACGAATCGGCCCTACCGTGTGTAACTTTTTTTCTCTAGAGTATATGAGAAACGATCGCTGATTTTTGTATTTTTTTTTCATTTTTTTTTTTGGTTATTTTCCTTTATGAACGCGGCAATATATATACTATCTCACCGTAGAACGTAGGTCTTCGTTTCATTGTCGGTCACGTGAGAAGATGATTTCGTTTCATTGCGTCTCGAGAGTATGCGTGCAGCTAACGCAGCCGGCGCGGATCGTCATCGTCATCGTGAACGATCTCTCTCTAAAAAAAAAAAGAAAAAAAAGAAGGAAACCCCGGTAAAGGAGTATCGTAACGAAGTCCATCGAAGGCAGGAGTTCTGAGCACGTTGCAACGTCAACCTTCGAGCCCTGATTTGCGTTCTGAAGGGGGGGGAAGTCGACACGAAGGTTGCGTTGTACAGAGTCGAGTGCACTTCTCTATACACCGACTATCGTTACATTCTCCTTATATTCTTATATTTTTCATTCATCAGTTCTTGTCCTTCGATTCCTCTTCGTATGTTCATCCATTCTAACCAAACTCCATAATCACTCCATTTATTTTCCCGAATATATTCCTCTTGCACCTCGAACGGGCGAACCGAACGATCGATAACGAGCACGGACTATGGGTCGACGCGGCGTAGCAGTCTATGTTTCTCTCTGTGTCGTCTCACTATTCGCGTCCCGTTTCTCGAACGACTCGCCCCCAACAAAAAGAAACACGTTATCCTCTTTTCCTCTCTCTTCTGTGTCCTGTTCTTGTTCATCTCGGCTAGCGACGTGTCTCCCAACGATCGTAGCGTTTACAGTGGATTAAAGGCAACTCGTTGGAGGAATGTATTTTTTTTTTTCTTTATACAACTATAAGGCTGTCGATGGAGAGCGCGCGCGCGAGGTCCGTGAGATGGCGCTGCTCCCCGCGAGCAGTATTAACGGCAGACGCTATGTGAGGTCGGCGGCGCGTCTATTTGGTAATCTATGGCTGGTCGTTGGCGATAACTGCCAAACGTTGCCTGTTGCCGCGTCCCGGCTCTCATAGGTGGCGCTGGTTACATAGATGGCGGTGCTGGAGACATCGTACTCGCCGATCAGACGTCCGCGGTCCTCGAGGTGACGCTCGGTGATCGGCTGTGAATGACGACCCTGTGACCGTTTTTCGTCACGAAACCGTCACTCTCGACGAGGACCGCGGTCTGTCTGACGCGTGGATCCGTGTCCGCGTCGTCGCTTTCTTCACTGGGCCCGCCTAGACGCTGTTGTTTGTGCTTTCTCCAGGCGTTCTGAATAAGACGCGCGCAATACTCTTCACGTTGCCGCCATAGTGTGGAGGATACGGGTTCGTAACCAGTTTCGCCAGGACGCGTTTGCACTTCGATCTCCGCCGTCTCCTCGATTGGATTACCCTTGCGCGCGAAGAAGTCTTTGGTGAGGGCGTCCAGGATGTCCACACAGAACATCATGTCCCCCTTGCATATGGGTATATCCATCGATACGATCTTGTACTTGTTCGGCTTGTGTATTTGCAACGGTGGCTCGAGCACGTCCAGGAAATCGGACAGCTGATCGTATCTGATATACTGTGTTCCGTCCGGATCGAACTGTTGCCAGATCTCGTAGTACATGTCGTAGTCGTCGTCCGTCAGACCTTCTTGCACGTCCTCCGTTGCCTGCGAGTAATTCTCGAGGATCACAGCGATGTACATGTTTATCACGATCAGAAAGCTGATCACCAGGTACGAGAGAAGATAAGCGATGCCAATCGTGGACGAGCCACAGTTGCCCGGATATCCTATCTCGTTGTTCGGCTCCTGACAGTCCTCCTCGTTTATTATGCCGTCGAGGACGCCATCCCAACCAGCGGACGTTGACATCTGGACAGATTAAAATGATTTTTACATGCGAAATGTGACAGTGAAGTTTCAAGTTTCGGGAATAATGTTGTTTCCGTCAAAGTGGTAATACATCTTGAAATCATATAAACTCCTTTCAGTCAGTTTTTCTTACTTTCAATAACAGCAACAATAATTTATATGTTCAACTTAGATGAAACATCCTGTATGCTGCAATGGAAGAATCATTTCGAGACTCGAGCTCTTTAGCTCCCTTAAACTGCTGTTACGGTGTTCGGATTAGGCCTAACTCAGACGGACCATTTTAGAACCACACCATAACCTTAAAACGGTAATTACCTGCGGGCGGTCATGAAACATGGAAACCGCACGATAGTATTCAGACGCATCACTAACTAAAGTCAGTTTTGACGGCCGTCTCAATACGTGGACACAAATCTACAAAATTGTCGCCGTCAGTGGTTGAGCACAGCGCACACGGTGCGACACGCCGACTACTTGTGGATCACTCGCTGACCACTCGTCGCTAGCAGACGTTGTTAGGCGTATCCTGTAACCGGATTTGGTAGCCGTGGTGTGGTTCTAAAGTGGTCCGTCTGAATTAGTCCTTACGTGTACTTTGACGCCTGACTGATGTTACGACCTTACTACTGTTCGGCAAAGCAAAGTTGAGACTCGTGACGTCATTGTCTAATAACTTCTCGGTCTTACACTGCTGTCGCTTGAGGGGAAGTTGCGATGTAAGCAAATAGTTTAGATAATGTGGCACGCTGATAAAAGAACAGGAAACTAAAGATTGTTTGGTCGCTTTGTCTTCTTACCTGTGTTGGCGCGTAGACAGATATTCATAGCAAGGTCGTTAATTTCCAAATGACTCACAGGAAATGTATTAACATTTTTTAAGACGTAGAAAGGTGAAAAATAAACATTGTTTTGTTATTTATGAATTATTAAAAATAGTTTTCTGTGTTTTATAAAATTGTTTGTTAAGCCCACAGATCTCTGAATGAAATGAAAAAAAGCATGCCACCACAGATCGACAGCCACCATTTCTGCGCCTCGAAAAGCAGCACATGGCTCATCTGTTATTAATGGCTTAACAACGAAACGTGACAATTTCTCCTACATCTCCCATTTATAAAACCTAAGGCCTGCCTGAAGCCTCAAGTTTGCTTTGCCGGTCAAAATATCATTTCCATCAACTATACATTATTACCAAATAAAACTATAAAGCAGTAGTTTGCGTTTGGGACAGGTTTTATATGCGTCACTTTGTTCAAATTTCATTAAAACTACTGTGTCCAAAAACAAACTACAAAGAATCGAGCAGCAACTCCAGCACACTTTTGCAGTGAAACTTTTGAAAGAAAAAAATTATAAATATTCATGAAATTATTTAGGTTCATTTCGTTTGTTAATTTATTTTATTTTAATATAAATAAAACTTGAATTTCCCATTTTAAAGTTTTTCATATTATGGTGCGTATTATTAATATTAGTGGAATGCAAAGAATTAAAGGTGATATCAAATGGTGTTTCGTTACCTGGAATAGCAATATCATCGACTGTCCGAACGTTTTAAAGTTGTACACATCGTCCAGTCCGCTTTTGTCTTTCACGTGCATGAAGAACGACATTCCAAAAATCGCGAAGATAAACATCACCAAAAACAGTAATAGGCAAATATTGAAGAGAGCTGGTAATGACATCGCCAGGGCGAAGAGAAGAGTTCGAATACCCTTGGCACCTTTCACGAGTCGAAGCACACGACCGACTTTTGCCACCCTTACTACACGAAGCAACGTCGGTGATACGAAGTATTTCTCAATAATGTCACTGAGAACCAGACCTAAAGGGAACATGTGTAAATTCAATATCAATAAGTCCATTAGATTCAACTGTATTGCATTATTACTATATTAGTTGTTAATAAGAAAGGAGAAGAGTCAAGTGCAATCTAGGTTAAGGTTAGGTGCTCTCTAAATTGATGGGTGCTCTAAGTTCTTGCACGTGGGACTATTATCACTGTAGATTAAGTATAGTAAAAAATGATGCATTCCCATTACTAAGTTAATCTTTAAGCGATGTAATGTATGTATATACAATAATAATGAGAATAAGCCTAATAGTGATTCTTTGTCCTTTTTACTCGTTCAGTTTTACCGATAAGAAGATTCAAGAGATATGATGCATGATGCTATGTATGGTTCGAAAAGATTTAAAAAAAAAAAACCATGCATCACGTAGTCCTAAGGACTATCAACCCTAGTTCTCTAATATAATTTCTTTGACTACCCTGTGAGAGGAAGAGTAACATGCACTGAGGTTGATCGAAAAATCAAAATAGTTGATTAAAGCTCGATCACTCGTTATGTCACACGCGGTGCTGCATAAGAAAAAGAAAAAAAAAATATGTATCAATGCCGTGAATCATTATGTTAGGCAAGTTTGAAGATGAGCACACTAGCAATCGTATTATTTTTCTCTAATAAGAAACTAATTTGGAAAAAAATTCTCGTAATACAGACCCGCTCTTACCCGATTCTTTGACTAACGATCGTCTTTAGATCAATTAACATGTGTAAATCCAGTCAGAAACAACATTATATCTCATCAAGAATATAGATATTAAACATTCTTGCAGTTGTTCAGACTATTTTTTAGACAAAATTAGAAATATTTTGAGAGTTATAATGCTGAATTTTCTGACTAGCCACATGTTTATAATCTCATAGGAGCGAGGATTATACAGGATGGGAGACAGAGGATCGTATACGAACATCAATGTAAGGCTACGTAACGTAATGACGCTGATCAGTCGTTGCGGCACACGTGAAATATTAATCCTGTCCGCTTTTTTCTTTTTATTTCGTTTGCAAAATGGTACTAGTTTTGCGTGCAGTAGAGGTGAGACTTAACATGCTCGTTTGCATTACTAATTGTAGAAAAGAAGAGGAAGAAGAAGAAGAGTATGTTGTGTGATCGAAAAGCTAACAGGATTCATTTTTTGATCAACTTTGTATCAATTTCACTTGGGCCATACGACTGAACTAATCATTACATTACATTACCTAATATTGACAATATAACAACAACAAAATCAAAGAGGTTCCATGGCTCCTTGAAATAGTGGTAACGCAGGGCGAAGATCTTCATGAGACACTCGCTGGTGAATATCACAATGAATATCATGTTCAGAGAATCCAGAGCATAGCTGAAAGTCTGGGTCTGTTGATAATGGTCCAACGTCATCGTCAGCATGTTCAGCCCGATGAACAACATGATTACCATATCGAACTTTTTATCCGTTACTATTTCAAACACTATCGCCTGTGGCCTCCACTGGAAATAAATAAAGTGTCCACGTTAAAATAATAACTATTTAAATTGAAAAATATAAGTAGAAGAACAATTTGTGTGATTATTAAATTAAATTATCTAAAGTGGTTCACTGCTAAAATTTCACAATTCAAAATGTTCACCAACCTTGGTCAGTTAATAATTATGATTATTTTCAGCTACACATAAAATTCAAAAAGAAACATAAACGTACCGTAACAAAACTTACTGATGATTCTCATAAACGCAGAGAAGAATATTACCTGAGTAGATTTTTAATATCTAGAGTTATAATCCATTTGGGACCATTTTGATCCCATATGGGAATATGTTAGTAGTCGTTCAAATTAACTTAAAAATATATATATAAATTTAACACGTTCGCTATCACCATTCTGTTGAAGCATCATCCGCTATCCTCTCTATTTTTAATATTTGTAGATTTACCAATTTTACACTTTAAATACGCAAACTGTGCATTTTCTTAGACGTATTACACATATGTATATGTATGTATGAGGGTCGGCTGATAGATAATGCACACTCGCTTGTATCTCGAGAACAAAAGCAGCTATCGAAATGGAAGTACAATTCTTTAGCTACAAAATAATCGCCGTTAACTTCGATACATTTTTGCCAACGCGTGACAAGTTTTCTCATTCCGTCAACAAAGAATTCTGCCGGTCTACTTTTGATGAAGAACTTCATTGCTGCCTTGACTTCATCGTCCGACAAACAAGCAATTAAAAAGCTATTTAAAAAATTGTTTTATAGTGAAAAGCTTTAATAAGTGAAAAAGTTTGATATTGTTATTCATTGTACACACTGAAAGCAAAATCCTGAATATTGCCGAAATTTTCGGCGTGATTACTAGTATGATTCCTTAATTTAATAAAACAAATTTTAAAACGATACAGTCAAAAGAAAAGATTTCACGGCCGCGATTGAATATCTAACGTCTGCTACGGCTAAAAGATTAATGCATTTATTTTAGAGTAAATGGCTAGGAATAAGTAAAACAAGTTGGTCCCAAATGGTTTTAATATATTTTATGCTTACTCTTGGACGTGGAATGGCCTTGAGTGGTTTCTTGCTACCCATCTTTTTCATGGCATTGTAATATTTCTTCTGATCTTCTGTCATGAACATTTCGAGGGAACCACCTGCCTTTTTCTTTTGCTCGTTGAAGTTGTCGATGATCACACCAATGAATAGATTAAGGGTAAAAAACGATCCGAATATAATGAAGAATACAAAATAGAAATACATGTAGATGTTCGTTTCACGAATTGGTTGTTTGTTGAGCTAGAAGAAAGAGAGACAGAAGTGCAATTATACTTTTCTAATTGAGAACTTTTTTCAATTGTACGATTTAATTGCATCGATACGCTCACCTCCCTAGAATCAATGGCGTCGTTCATGATCTGAATCCATCCTTTAAACGTGGCCACTTGGAACAAGCATAGATACGCTTTTCCTACGTGGTCGAAATTCATCGGAGAATTCTCCCAGGTGTAATTCTCAGCCAAACAGGCATTTCGATCGGGGATTATTTCGTAGCTGAGTGTTGTTTTGTTCGCGTCTACGCACTGCAACAGTCGCAAAACAGAGCACTGATTAACCTTTTTGTGTTCTCTCTAAGATGATCAAATGTGGTCAAAAAAATGTTCACTTTTTTTATGATTTAAATTGCTTGTAACTATTGTTGTAAATAATACATGTTTTACATTAATTTTTTCTTATCTAATTCTTAATAATTCCAGGGAATTACAAATGCAATCATTTCCAAACTTTTGATATGTTATTCGTTATATTACAATGTGTTATCATATTTGAAACTTTTTAATCAGTAAGTCTTTCGTTAAAAAATTTATATCATCAAGTTGAATTAAGTATGATCGTTAAGATTAGAAAAATTATACAGAATTATGAAACACGGTTATACAAATATGGACTGATTTTTCTTTTTATTGTTATGTACCTTGAAATATTTGCCAGCAAAAAGTTGTACACCCATAATGGCGAAGATCAACCAGAAGATAAGACACACCAGCAACACGTTGAAAATGGATGGAATGGCTTGAACCAAAGCGTTGACGACTACCTGCGAGACAAAAAGCGTTGTTAAAGTATCTGACAGAAAGGCCAATTATGCGAATTTTGTCTTTCTATGTGCTCAAGTATGCGTTTCTATGCATCTCTACGCGCCTCTATATGTATATCTACGCCGTGTATTACGATCTGAATCGTATGTGCAGTTTAATCTTCTAATAGTCCTTTTGCGACAAACTACGAGAAACGATGAAACATCGAGCGAAAGGAAGTAAGAATGTTGTGTTATCTTTGTGAATTCAAATGGAGAAAAAAAAAAACAGTTTAAGTAAAATTAATTTGAACAGCAGAAATGTTCTGCCAATAAAATGAAATTAACGTTAACAGCAATGGAGGATTTCATTCTCACAAATGGGTTTTTTTCAAATTTGTTTAGGCAATCAAATTCGTCCTTAAAAAATACAAAATTTCTCTATTTATTCCATTTCTCTATCTCTAATATTTTTCCACGTACTGATCCAAACTTCAATGTGGACGTTTGCTGATAAAAAAAGAAAATACGCATCGAAGATTTTTTTTAGTACTACCATATACCAAAGTTTCATAAAAATCGGTGATTTATCACTTCGAGATGTTCCCTTGTCAGTCAAAAATCTAAACAAATTGAATTTATCACTTATTTTGTGTTGCATCGATTTGTATTGCAATAATGTGGAAAGATTTTTGCAAAATAGTCGGATATTGATAACCGTTCAATGAAATTCATAGTGAAAATATTAAGAAGGGTGTTTTTTGAACCTAGATGACGCTAGTTGCCATGTTGGCGAAACGTTGGAACACAGAAACAATTGGACTCAATTGGAATTATTAATCATTTGATTAATAATTAATAATCCAGGCTACAAAGTCCTACAAATTCGTGATGGACGATTTAATCGATTTTCGAAAACGGTCGCGACATTTCTGCTCGATTCGCTCGATTTTTCACGATTACACAGGATCAAATCAGGAAACAGAGTCGATCGAATTTTTTTCTTGATTCGTTTACTTCGCAAACAATTTACACGGAACAATCTTTCCCTCTCTTTTCTATGGAACAGTGAACCGAGGTAAACCTTGCATACTTACACCATCGATTACCACGTTTAATTTCTTACAGTTACACCACTCGAACATGTACGTATTATCAATACACCGACATCATAGATCCTCAAACGAATTGAAAATAAAAAAATTAGAAAAAAAAAGAGGAAAGAAGTAGAAGGAGACGGACACAAAGAGTGCCTCTGTGTTCTCCGCGAATTTGATTGAAACCAATGAATAATCAAATAATGGAACAAGTATCGATTTGCCTGATCATTGATCGATGTGACGTGACGTGCGTATATACTCAACGTTTGCTTTGAGACCAAGATACAAGTGTGCGCATAATTATGCGGGTAACTAAACGAAAGCATCAGCAAGTGGCGTAGAAAAGCGTAACACTGATTCTTTTATCTGAATGCGTCATTGCGTGCGGAATTCAGCGATTTATTGGGTTGGTGCATATGAAATTGCTAATTGCGTATAACGTAACAGTTGTTTTGTTTATGGTGAGGACACAATGACAATTACTAACACCAGCTTGCAAAATTGACAAAATACAATCATTCTTCAGTCTTCAAGAAGAAGTATTTTTGAACAAATGGTTTCGCAGCAGATTAGGGCAATTATGTTTCATAAGTTGAAAAGTAGGGAAACTTCATAAGAGGTCAAGTGAAATGCTGTATTCCCGCTGAGCGAGTATCGACCTTTTCTCACTTTGTAGCAATTTTCGAAAATTGGGAAAACATGTGTTTGTGAGAATCATTTCGTCATATAGAAAATATTTACAAAAATATGATATTTTCAGTTATGGTAGCGTCATGTATGATCTTGCCCAAATTTCGTTTATATCATGTCATCTCTCGTAAAAAAAAAAACAAGACAAGATTTTTCGAGATATTCCAACTAATAATTTTCCAATTCCAATAATGAATATTAGTAACTAAAAAAAAAATGCTGTCCAATATTTTCGGATTCTCTAGCTGTATACAACATTTGATTAAAATTGGCGTGTGTTGGTTGGGTGATGTCTCTTGTCAGTGAAACTGAAACAGCAAGACGAGTAACTGATCGATTAGAGGAAAGAACTATCTCTAGAGGGACCATTAGACATTGTTTCGAAAAACTTCGAAAATGAAGAACACAATTGGCCAAATCGCTTAATTGTATCCTGAAATGTTGCGACTGTTGGTAGAATTTGATGTTCACCAAAACGACTCGAGCAGTATCGCAAAAACTCAGTTTGTCGATTATTCTGATCAAACGAAATACTTAAAAGGCAAAACAAATATCTGCACTCAAACTTCCCTATTTCATATTTCATATGCAGTTTCATATGCACCAATCTAATATCAGCGACAAGCAACAAGACTTCATGCGTAAATAACGAAGAAAGAAAAATAGATTGAAAAATCAACAGAAAAAAAAAAACACTTATGAAATATTACATATACACGTTCATATTTATAGGCTGAAAAATAGTAGCTACGAACTACTGTATAATAAGATAGGATAAGATAGTGTCAGGGCGTGGGCATGATAGTAAGTCTACGCCCAGTATCTCAGCGACCTTGTATTACAGTAATGTAGAATCATTTTATGTCTGTAATGAGATATAAACTGTTTAATTAAACCGATGTAAGTAGTCACAAGTATGTATATGTAGGTATAATACGTGTGTTGTTTGTCTTGCGTTTCGAGTATATTGAGACAAGTAGTACTCTAGAGATGAGGCACGTTGTTGAGGCACGTTGATCGAGATAATATCTAAATAAGTATATTGTCATTCATAAATTTGGGGAATCATTTCATCACTTTAAACCTTCTAGTATTCACATCGGTATCACATATACGTCGTCCAAACTTTTCAGGCAAGAAGTTAACTAGGAAAAAACTATCTTAACTAAAATTCATTTATAATTTTTTCATAAATATATTTCCAAAAATTTCGAATTCTGTCATAAATTATATTTCATTAAATTACATTTGAAAAATAGAATTTATTTTTTTCTACCATTTTAAGTAATTTACCGATAGAGCAGTATGTGATTTCAAATCATGATCTCACTACTAGAAGGTTAATGACAATTGTTGCGTAAGAACGGTTTAAAGTTGCACAAACTTTTATCACACTTTGTCGAGATTCACGTGGCGAGAGTGTCATTGTTGTTGCCGGCGTTCAAATCACCGAGCCGCGCGGAGCTTTAGAAATTGAAAGATGAATAAGAAACAGTTTTCTGAATCGAAGACTTTGCTGCAAAAAGGAGACAGCTTCGTAATTTGCTGAAATAGAATGAAAAATAATTCTGAATAGATTTATACAAGGATGCACCCTATTCTTTTCCCCTAATTCTTCTAAATTTGTGTAGATTGATGTTTTCTGATATGTTCCCATGTACTAATATATAGTTTAATAACGTATAAATGGTATTTACTCGAGATATGTGGATTTTTCTACAATTTGGTGCAAAAAGGGAGTAGCTTCAAATTTTTAACATTCACCTTGCCATAGAGACAAGATATTTTTGCTTAGTAACAAAACTTACGAGTCTGTAAAATACTTCGAATATGTGTCCGAAAATATTGTATTAACACTGTTTTCATCAGTTTTCGAAAAGTTAATACATTTGTAACTGTCCTCTTCTTGCAGCAAAGTCTTCAATTTTCAATGAATTTTTTATACTTCTTCAATTCTTAGAATTCCTCCATATTATATTGGAGTGGAAAATATTTGGAATAATAATAATTCAAAATGTATAAAGTATATACTTAATTGTCGTTTCCTTCGTTTCATTTTTCACAAGTAACATTTTTACATTAATTTTCTTTTCGCATTTTATAAATTTTTATTTGTACATTCAGTTGTAGAATTCTGTAGTTCAGGATCTTGTTTCGAGTATTGAAACAGTTTGTGACAGGATGAAATTTCGTTTGCCCCAAATTTATGGACAGTGGCATATGCGTGTCCTCTAAGGTGCATATTTCGCGAGAGTTGTCTATAAAGAACGAGTCTACGTGCCGTTTAAACATTCGCAGTTTTAAGCTCAAGTGCATTCGCGATCGCCCTACGTATGTTTACGTGCAAAAGGAATCGAGCCTTCGACACGGCGAGACCGAAGAGTTATTCTATCAATCCTTTCATTAATTGTGACACGGAGTAAACAAGTCGAGTCTCGCGATAAAAAAAAAGATAAACGATGCCGCCGTCTTTGAATATCATTGTCCTTAGAAACAATTTTTAATTGCTTTCTACAAAGAGTTCAAATAAAAAATGCGGCTAATTAGAATTAAAATTTTACTACTCTATAGTTCAGAGTTTTCGACGGCATCGAGGACAATTGAATCGAATATATGAACGAATCGAAAATTTTCAATAGAGTTGGGCATTATTAAAACTTTACTCGAATCCCATCTGTTATACTTATACATAAATAACTTACTCCATCTTACTAACTTCGTTACCTTCTCATTTCCAACGAATGACACAGTTCACGTGGTCATGAATTGCTTAAATCTTATCTACAGTTCACAACTTCCTACATCTTTAAATTGCCAATTATCGCATAATTTCCTTAAATATCATAAACTACAATCACAATACAAAACAAACAATAAGGTTCCATTCAATGACAAATTTCTACCTCGTTATTTTCTCTGACAATATCTATTAAAGAAAGAAAAAAAATGTCCAAGAGATATGCCCAACTCGGAGGCTCGATTCGTCCTCCATAAAAAGAGAATGATCGATTCGACGGGAACGGAATAAGAAAAGTAATCGGCAAGGTCTGCTGAGACTGTGGGCTACATACCCGCATTCCCTGCATTCTAGACATCGCCCTGAGTGGCCTTAGGGCCCTTAGGGTCCTCATTGTTTTGAAGGCTTGGATCCCGCCAGCGCCACAGAGCGACGCTACGAAGTTAATGAGTGACACCTGCGAGCGAGAAACGAGAGCGGATCACAGCAACAGGTAGACAGGCTACTCGCGAAACGATTTTATCATCATCATCATCAATCATCATTATCATTATTATTTTTAAAATGTCAAATATTAAAAATTAAGAGAGAAACAGTGATATAAAGAGAAAGAAAAAGATAGATAAATATAGATATACAGAAGAAAGGGGGTGGGGGGGAGGAGAAAGAGAATGGGTTAAGGTTGACCGTCGACGCGTCACTTCGTTTCTCTCGACTTCCTGTCGATGGATCGAGGAGTCCATTGAAGAGGATCAAAAGTAACATAGGAGTCCGTCCCATCTGTGGAGATCGTTCCATTTAAACAGTGTATAATACACATCGTAGATACAACAAATATCCAGAGCAGGGGGACGAGAAGAGACATTGATAGAAACCAGGTATGGCACACGTAGCGGTTCACAGTGAACAGAAAAATGGAGACATCGTGTCACACCTGTTTGCGTATAATCGTTTTTAATATTCTTACACAAAAACGTATTTTTCACGAGTTTTACCACCTGGTACAGGCTAAACAGTACGCTTGAAAATCAAAAATCAAACGAATCTTAAAAATAAATCGAATTAAGAAATCATTGACCACCTTTGATTTTTAACTTTGCATTTTGTTACAAAATCACAACCATTTGAACAAACAAATTTATGATTTTCAGCTTTATTGAATGTTTTGTTTAATTGTAAAAAAAAAGTAAGACCGTATGTTTGGAAAATCAAGTAGTCAAGTATTGTATAATGCCTTTAAGAATAAAACTTGTCCAAATCTGAAGCAAATCTGTGAATTACTTCCGGAAATAATTTGAGATAACTTGAGAGAAACGCGTTTGAAGCTAGCAACTTTTGTGCAAACTTATGCAATTCGATTGATTTTTCAGATATCGGTCTAAAATTTTGAGCATACGCATACTCTGAAAATTTCAAATTCATCGAATATGTAAAAATCAGAAAGTCGAAATCAGATTTTTATTATTGGGTAGATTGTGATTATACGCACACAACTGCGCACGATCGACAATGCAGAGAGCAATGAATGATTTGATATGATTATTGGTTACGAGCATGATAGTCGGCTCCGTCCTGAAACAGATGAAAAGGTTCGTCATACTTGCAGTTGCAATGCACCTGGTACTAGTTATATTTTATTGAACAATTTAGTTGTTCCATAATCTGTGATTAATCGTAAATCAGAGTAGATCAATTTTTCGTGTTTTGGAGGTTTTCTAATTTCGTCTATTTTGTTTTCCTTTATTTTCGCGTAAAATCACCTACATTTATCATTTAAAAAGCATGATTTTAAAAATTATGTCACTTTGCTTTTTTAATTCATTTTGCATTGCATCACGCGCGAGAGGCTTGTGTTGAATTTACTTTTGATGCACATAAACTTGTCTGAAAAACATTCTGATTAGCACAAAACGTTTAGGAAATGTTCTAGTTTTATTTTAGTAAAAAGATGTTCAATTGTATAGTCGATGGAAGAGATATAACGAGGTTGTAAGATTGGTCAGGTGTCAAATTTTATACGTATAAGCATGTCGACAGAAGCCTGAAGAAATAAGAACCCGAAACCTTAGTCTGGGTCACATAAAGTATACCTTAGCTATGATTCAGTCCTAATCGAAAAACGAAAAATGTCGCATTCGCTACTAAATATTTCTTTCACTGACCCGTTCCCTTAAATTATACCGTAAAAAGCATCGTTGTTACTATTAATGATACGAAAAAAGAGAATGAAGTCTTCTACAATCAATTTCTCGTTCGTTTCTGAAACATATTTCTGTTTTGTTGATAACAATAAAAATATTCTGTATGTACAGTTCAGCTTTAAAATTAGTTTCTACTATATTATATTCCATCACTTCTAAGATATTCGAAGAAGTGGTACCATGGTGCGTTGCAACGTCAAAAAACCAACATCCTGATAACCAAGATTCAAATTACACGCGTATAAATATAGTATATACGTACGTAGTACACACGCGCACATTAACACACAAGGAAGATTGTACATTACACACAAAGCAATATAATATGTGTATGCATGTATATATATATATACATATTTATTTATGTATGTTTGTATGTATATATATATATAGTTCATATGTATAGATACACTGTACTTTGCACAACGATCACTGTGCCAAAAGACTGTTAGGAAAGGCGTACATAGGCGGTAGCTAGTACGACAAAAACTCCAATATCAGTGCAGACACCAAGTAGAGACACCAGTGTACTTCTGCACACCGGAAAGCACACCATAGAGTACAATGCTACAATCACTGTAGCGATCATGTTCCCTTTCGTCACATTTTTCCCTCGGTTTCTACATATTGTTCCCTTCTTTTATTTATTTTTTTTTCTGTCTCGTATCAACTCGTCGAAAAACCAAAATCTCATGGTAAACGTGACGGATTGAAGGTTGAAAAAATCCTATTTTTATGTATCTATGAAAAAATCATCCAATTTTCAGAAAATCATGAGGACATTGTCTTCGCTGATATTGACTGAAAATATTGATTTTTCTGAAGTAAAAGACAAAAAAAAAATATACAGAAAATTAGGGACATTGAAAAACTTTAGAAAATTTCCGTTCAAAGTCCGTCAGATTTCCATGATTGGATAAAGGTCGTCACATCACCGGATCAGGCCGATCTTTTTTTTTTTTTACGTTTTTCTTTTTGTTGCTGTTGTTTCTTGTCGACCTTGATGACTTACTCTCATGCCCTCCCATCGTGAAACCGCTCGTAAAGGCCTCAAGGCCCTCAGTGTTCTCATGGAACGGAAGGCCGGGATGTCTGCGGCGCCTGCCCAGATCGCGCCCAAGTTGATCAGTGAGAGCTATCATCATCATCAAATATTGATCAGATGGAACGTGACATGACACATGAGTATCGGTAATTATACGAAGAGACGATTGAATTAGAGCGTAATCCAGCACGAGGGA